AAACCGTTAAATTCAACTTCCTGCTTTTTAGGAATTAGTAAAATTTTAACATAGTTATATCCTGCTTTTCATCACAGTTGATTTCTGGAAACTACATTGCAAAGCAGAATGGTGAAACTGTCTTTAGTCCTCATGCAGTTTGGGTTAAGACAAATCTTGTTACTCTCTTTGCTGTCAGATGTCTGCTTCAGTAAAGCAAAATGCTGATTTCGGTAAACATCACTGCTTTTAGAGCTGGGAGAATCTGCAGACTTTCGTGGATTCTGAGACAAGGTGGAAGCATAGATGTTTTTCAGGCACCATTCAGTGTGTGTCAGTGAGACCCTAGCATGCTCTGTGACATTGCACTGGAGCTGCCAAGAGTGCTAAGCCAAACAGTCTCCTATAGGAGATATGTTATGTACATACATAAAAAATGGTGTGCTAGTTCCTGTTGGTTTTTCCATCGCAAGTAGGTAAATGTATTTAAAAAGAGCCCCCTAGAATCTACTAAATCTTTTTAACTCAAGGATGAGTGCTGGAAATAAAATACTAATACTTAAATGTCAAAATTATGGCTTAAGTCTCTCCCTCGTTCACGTAATCTCAGTGTAATAAGAACCTTCACTGCAAATTAAGGCTCATAGAGGCAAGCAGATGATGGGGTACCTGAAGCCTGTTTTCATTATATGTGGGGGCATAGCACCTAGTTTTCTCTTTTTGTTTTTAAGGCATCATAGGATAAGAGAGATCATGTCATTACTCTTGCTCACAGAGCCTAGAGTTTATGAATGTCACTGTTCTGACCAACAAAGAGATCGTGGGCATTTCTGTGATTTAAATGTGGGCTCTAAAGATCTTGATTATGATGTAGGCAAGTTTAGGCTCTTTAGGCAGGAGCCTTATCTTGGAGCGTTTTTGTCAGGATTCCCAGTTCTACCCACTGTCACTGTAACACCCCTGTAAGTGGCTGAAGCGTTATGATGGGAGATGGGAGATACCAACTTGACCTATTTCTAGACATTTGTCTTGAACGCCTCAGTTAACATAACAGTCTCTCCTCGTCGGCTCTTGGTACATTGTGAATCCAGCACGCTAGAAGGTGAACCTAGTGTTAAAAAGGAATGGTTTTTGGAGTTAGGTCTCAACTCTCCCGCTTAACTGGCCAAGTGACTGCACAAAGTAATTATCTCAGAGTGTTTTCTCAGGACTAAACTTGATTATGCAAGTGAAGGGCCTGGCAAGGTTAATGGTTAAGTACCCCATAAGTTTTAGCTCCTTTGAATTTGCTTAGGCTCTCTCTAATGTCTCATATTAAGAAACCAGAGGAATGCCAAAATTCTACAAATCAAAGAAGGGAAGAGTAAAGGCATTTTTATTTAGGACAAAAAGAAAGCAACGTGGAGGTTCTTATTGGGTGCTAACACAGTAAGTCCTGTGGAATAAAGAGAGGAAGAATTAGCTGAAGCAGATCTGTGTCCAGGTTCTGTTCTTTGCCTCTTTGCCCCATTAAGTACAAAGGCTAGTTCAGCTGAAGCTGCCTAGAACTCCCTTGGTTCTCAGTTTGTTCTTTTCATTGACCTTAATTTTCACTTGTCCCCTTTTGTTCCAGTTCTTGGGAAACTCAAGTTTTTGGTCTGACAACCCATTATGCATCCCTGAATGTTCTCCAACTCTTCTGTCATTTCTAGCCGGTGGATTCTAGCTTCTTTTAATCTTATTTAAGTATCATAATGCTCCTAATATACAGTCCCCTCTCCATTTTTGGTCCAATTTTTTTGTATCTTCTCTTAAAAAATTTGCCTCCACTTGTTTTTCTCTTCCAGTTCCTCAACTGAACCGTGAATCCAAGTTTGCAAAACAATTATTAGCAGTGAAACGTGGAAATGTTTAAAATTCACACATGGGGGGAAGAGGGAGTTGAAAAGGAAAGGGAAATAAGGAAGAAAAGTAATATTGATCTTTATAATTATCCAGTGCTGGCTTATTGGGTACTGATTAGGTGAGAAGGGTGATCAAAGGATTTTTCATCTATTACTCGACTATGTTCATGGACTGAAACCGCCAACTCTAAGCCTTAACTTCACCTCTTTATCACGCGTCTCCTTGCTGATGTAGGCAAGCTCTGAGCCCCTGTTGTAAAGAAACACAAGCTGATACTCAATGAAGTGCCTGAGAACATGTAAGAGTTGGTAACTCCTTTGGTTTAGAATCCTAATTTCCTGAAACCCAGTCCAGTGGTCCTGTATTAATGTCACGTTGCCTCACACGGTTCCTTCAGTTCAGACTCCTCCCTTGACCCTACTCTCAAGGACCTTATTATCGAACCAGCAATACCTGCCTGCCCAGTAAGTGATAGCTTCCTAAGCATGAGCCTATTTTAAAAGTTAGATAACTTTTAACACTTGATCAAAGGCCCTGTCCCTGAGTTTCATCACTTTTCCCATTTTAAGTATTCCAGCAGGTACTCCCGTATTTCAAAACAGTAGGCTTATTATGGTTATTTCTGGATTCCTGAAGGTCCATCATATAAACATTTTATTCTGCAAGATGAGAATTTAGAACTCTTATACCACCCTCATTTCCCTTCTGTTTTAGTTAGATCACAATGTTTAGCATAAAAGATTTTTATTAGGGGTATGTAAGTATACTGATTGCTTTTCCTCACTTTTTTGCTTTGTTTTCTCTGTAGCTGTCACTAATTCTTGCCAGTTCCCCCCTAACGGGATTGCAAAACCCTCTGCACAGTTTTCCTCACTGTCAGATACAAGGTAATCTGACAGTTCTCACCCAACCCTTCGCAGCCCCTCTCCCCCAGCACCATTCCAAGAAGTTTCTTGAAACCCTCTCTTTCTGCTCTAATCCAAGCTGGTTGCGTCTTTGAAACTCTTTCTTCTCCTCTTGTCTCTTGATTGGCTGGGTTTAAAAATTCTGGGTTAGAAAGAAATGTCTCCACATTTAAACTCCTATTAATTGGATACTGGAGCCTTTTGTTTTTGCTATATTTTTCACCTTTTTTTTTTTTTTTTTTTGCGGTACGCGGGCCTCTCACTGTTGCAGGCCTCTCCCATTGCGGAGCACAGGCTCCGGACGCGCAGGCTCAGCGGCCATGGCTCACGGGCTCAGCGGCCATGGCTCACGGGCCCAGCCGCTCCGTGGCATGTGGGATCTTCCCGGACCGGGGCACGAACCCGTGTCCCCTGCTTCGGCAGACGGACTCTCAACCACTGCGCCACCAGGGAAGCCCTCACCTATTTTTTTAATTCTACTTTTTAGTAGGTTTTTACACTCTTCTTACTTTTCTGTTGATGTTTCTAAGATTTGGGATATTTTTAATTTTGAAGAACTCTTTCCTATACTCCATTATCTCCCCTTTAAAAACAAAATTCTTCTTTGATTTATGACTGAAATATCTTCTATCTGAGGAGGCTAGTTAAAGATATTAAAAAAATTTTTTTTTTTTTTGTTCTGCTTTCTGTTTCCTTTAGACTCCAAACAGAAAAATGTTTGGAAGTGCTGTGTTTGAGAATCCCAAACCTACCTACTGGAGGATGCCGAATATCAGCACCTATAAGCCATTTCTCTGTGGTCTTTCATTTGCTCTGTTTCTCCAGAGAAAAAGGGTCTGAGGGAGAGGGTGATGAGAGGAGTGGGACAGGAGTGCCCGCGTTCCGTGGGGGGCAGAGAAGGGGCCGACAGCATTTTACTGTTCAGGAGGAAAACTTAAACTCTTTTCATAATGTGTCTGGAACCCCTCTGATTCCCTGTCTTCAACATCATAAACTCGACTTCCGCCTGGGGAAGGATGGGTAACTGTCCCAGCTCCACAGGACGGGAGAGAGGACTTGGTGTCTGTTCCTTATACAACATGTAAGCAATGCCCATTTTCAGCCCTTCCTCACTGCCTCCCTTCCTTCCAGGCATCTGTAGTTCAGCGCCTTCCTGGGGTCCTGCTTTGTGAATCATTTGATGCAGTTTCTCTCTGCTAACTACTTCCGCAGAGAGGCTTCCTGGCTTCAAATAACCTCTCTCTGGCGGACTTAACTCTAAACCATATCTTTTAGGTTCAGAGGATTGAATAAGTATGTTGAAAAGCACTTGGAACAATGCCTGCCACATAATAAGCATTAAATGTCATTATTGCTCTTTGTCTTGAAAAATGTATCGACATATCTCATGTGCAATCATCTCTTGTTCTTTTTAGTCTTGTGGCTTTATTCCTTTCCTGTCATTTAAGTAAGGTTTAGGAAAGGAGCAGGCATACGATTAATTTTAAAGTCCTCTTAAAATTTTAAAGTTAGCCTTACTTTATGGGTGACTCTGGACACTCTACTAAAGCTAATATCAATTTCCCAGCCCTTCAGAAGCCAGCCACCAATCGTTTGTCCTCTTCAGAAAGGCAGCGCGTCTCTAATATGACACTTTCTAATGGAGAGCCCGTGGTGGCGCAGTGGCGAGTGCTTTGGGGTGGGGTCAGAAATCCCAGCTACAGCACTTAACAGCTGTGAAATCTTTGACAGACCTCTCCAGCCAGTTTTCTGTTAAAGTGAGCCAAACTTTTTCTAAGACGACAACCACTGTCTGGCAGTCGTAGGGGTTTCAGCTTGATGGCAAAACGGTGTACTTGACCCGCGGAGAGGAGGTGGGCGCGATCGGGAGGTTTTCTCCACCAAAATGCACCGACTGCCGCCCCAAGCAAAGTCTAACCATGATTAGATGCTAGGATACGGGTTCAGCCTGCCTGGCACGCTGGGGATCGAGCGGCTGGTGCCCCAGTGGGAGATCATCTTTCCTGGGGCCAGGCGGTCGCGCGCCCCGCGCTCGCCTCGCGGCGGGAGTGGAAGAAGGCTCTTCCCTCAACAAACATGGCCGCCGCACTAGCGTCAGACCCGCTCTGGAGGCCGCGCTGCCGCCTGGGAATAGCGGGTTCGGCGTCACCCGGCGCGGGGCCACGTGACGCGGGAAAAACCCGAGGCGGCGGGGCTGGCGCAGGCGGAGCTCGCGCCAGCGGAGCAGCGGTTGAGGCCCGAGTGGGGTAGGGGCTGCCCAGTGAGGTTACTCGGCGGGTCCCGGCCTCGCGCGCACGTGCCCGCCTGCTCGCGCTCGCAGTCTTGGGCGCTGACGGTGAGGAGTCGGGGAACGGGCGAGGGGGTGGGGGAGCCGGGCGCCTCTTCCGAGGCCGGGAGGGGGTTGGGCCGGGTCGGCGGGTCGGGTGGCGGGCGCCGAGCCGCCGAGCGCTCTCCGCCCGCGCCTCCGTGCCGGCGCTGGCCGTGGGGCCTCTTGGAGCCCGAGCCTGCCCGACGGGGCCAGCGGTGCAGGTGGACCGAGCAGGGCCGGATGCCCGCCCGGAAGGCCCCGCCGACCTCAGGCCCGCCCGCCCGGGCCGCCGCGGGCTGCTCCGTGGAGTTTTATCTTCGGGCGTTTTCCTCGGAGTGGGTGCGGGAGCCGAGTTGGTGGGCGCCTTCGGTCTTTAGAAATGGGCTGGGTTGACGTCACATGCAGGTACGAGGCGGTCTGGATTCCTGGGCGTGTGTACCGTGTGCCCCTGGGAAATCACGAGGCAGCAGGTTGAAGGAGACCCACTCATGGAAGGTTAGCGTGGTCAATTGAGGAGAGAGTCTCCTGTTTTGGACAGTTTGTTCACCAGCTAGTCTGTGTGGATGCTTTTATTTTAATCATTTTTATCTTGACCCTTCCATTAAAATTTCTCGACAACTGAACAGTAAGGCTGCTTATAAGGGAATTCCTTATGTAGTAGGTTGCCAGCCCCCTGCGTTTTATCCTAACCCGGGATATACTGTGGATCCCATGACCTTCAAGCTGAAGAAATGAAGGCGCAAAGAGTGTTAGAACGCAGCGGACGTAAGGAGCAGTTCAGAAGTCTAGCTATCATCCTTTCCTTAGCTCTCAGAGGAGGGAGTCACTCCAGAATCAGACACACAGAATCCCAGGTTCATAGACCCGGCCTCCATAATCTTTTGGTCCGAATGAAGTCTTAGAATCCTGAGTGAAGAATTGCTTGCGGTTGATTTGTTTCTTTTCATAGGAAAGACATAATGCTGTCAGCATGTCTGCACACTCCATGCTTTGTGAACGGATCGCCATAGCCAAGGAACTGATGAAGAGAGCAGAGTCACTCTCCAGGTCAAGAAAAGGTGGCATCGAAGGTAGTGCCAAGCTGTGCAGCAAACTGAAGGCAGAATTAAAATTCCTACAGAAGGTAGAAGCTGGGAAAGTAGCCATTAAGGAGTCCCATTTACAGAGCACTAACCTGACACACCTAAGAGCCATCGTGGAATCGGCAGAAAACCTGGAAGATGTGGTCAGCGTTCTCCATGTATTTGGTTACACAGACACCTTGGGCGAAAAGCAGACCCTTGTGGTGGATGTCGTTGCCAATGGTGGTCATACTTGGGTGAAAGCCATTGGCCGGAAGGCTGAAGCTCTACATAACATTTGGCTGGGCCGGGGCCAGTATGGCGACAAAAGCATCGTTGAGCAGGCTGAAGACTTCCTCCAGGCCAGTCACCAGCAGCCGGTGCAGTACAGCAACCCTCACATCGTCTTCGCATTTTACAACAGTGTCTCCAGCCCCATGGCTGAGAAGCTGAAAGAAATGGGTGTATCTGTGAGGGGAGACATAGTAGCCGTGAACTCTCTGTTAGAGCCCCGTGAAGAGCTCCAGGCCAGCGAGAGCGAATCAGACGATGATGGCCCCGAACTTTTGCGGGTGACCAGAGTAGACCGAGAAAACATCCTAGCCAGTGTCGCATTTCCAACGGAGATCAAGGTTGACGTGTGCACAAGAGCCAACCTGGACATTACTACTTTAATCACATATGTATCCGCCCTCAGCTACGGAGGCTGCCGCTTTATCTTCAGAGAAAAAGTGCTCACCGAACAAGCAGAGCAAGAGAGGAAAGAGCAGGTTCTGCCACAGCTGGAGGCATTTATGAAGGACAAGGAGTTGTTTGCCTGCGAATCTGCCGTCAAGGACTTTCAGTCTATCCTAGATACCTTAGGAGGACCCGGGGAGAGAGAGCGGGCTGCTATGCTAATTAAGCGAATTAACGTGGTCCCAGACCAGCCTTCTGAGCGTGCCTTGAAACTAGTGTCCAGTTCAAAAATCAACAGCCGCTCATTAACGATTTTTGGGACAGGAGACACCCTAAAAGCCATCACAATGACTGCCAATAGTGGTTTTGTCAGAGCTGCCAACAACCAGGGTGTTAAGTTCAGTGTGTTTATTCATCAGCCCAGAGCACTCACTGAGAGCAAAGAGGCCCTAGCTACCCCCTTACCAAAAGACTGCACAACTGACAACCAACACTGATGATATCCTTTAAATACTGTCATGGGAGTAAGTTATTTATACCAAAGGCTGTGTCTTTCCATTCTTAATTGGAAAAAAAAAATGGTCTATAGTAAAAATAATGCTCTTTAATACTCTTTAGAGCTCTTAAACCAGTCAAGTTGACTGTCTAACTCATCTATAAGGTATATAACCTAAAGTAGGAAAAAAGCACATGAGGCAACCTTATTTATCAAACTGGCTACATTATAATTAGAACAGAAATACATCTATATAAGGCTTGTAGCTGTATCACAGGATTTTGATTTGTTTCATTCAGTAGGGCTACCACTCCCCTAATGGTAACCGCATCTCTTGGACTGTGGCTACGTGGCATCTTGCATTAAATATCTGGAGAAACCTCTGAAGCTTGTTTTTCATTGTATTGATTTAGCAATCGATATGGGTTGAGGCTGGGAGGTAGTAGTTTTCAATGAATTTTAGATTCCAAAGTTATGGCTGTTACTGAAAAGACACTTATTTGATTGCTATCTGTCAGGTGCAGTCTGGTGGTTACGTTTACAAAGAGGACATTAATATAGAAGGAAATAAAGGGAATTCTGATCATGGGAGTCCCATGAATCTCTTGATACACCATCATGATAAGATAGACAACAGTCACACTACTACAAACCTAAGGTGTTTAAGGTTAAATATTTGTTTGAATATATTGAAAAAGAATTATATAAAATAATAGGCTTTACTTTTAAATATAAATGGCCCCCACATTAGCAGTATTTGGATTATGAATACTACTTTTCCCATTCCTTTTGCAAGTGGGAAGGGACAGCTGCATTATTACGTCTCTCTCGTGAAACAGTGGCAGGGAGATTCCATGCCTGTTTCATGACACAGTTGTAATTAAAAAGAAATTTTTATGTCCGTATTGTGCTAGGTGTTTCATGAATGTGCAGTGAGGACAAATTAGCAAAGTAGGTACGTATTCACATTTAAAAAATTGGGAATTGAGTCTTAAAGCTGAAGTATTAACTTGTGCTAAGTGTAGGAGCCATTATTAGAACGTGATTTTGTGTTCTCACAGCCTGGCCTTTCCACTGAGCCAGCCCCTCTTCTGTGAGTAGGGAAACTTCAATTTCCAGCCACAATGTTGAGAAGGTGGAACTTGATTGTCGGGGCCCATGAAATGAAATGCAAAATTAAGTGTATGGGGGGGGCGTTTCTCCTGGGAGAGATTCTATTACTAACTCAACACATTTCCTAGGGGAAAAGGCTGTGATTGGGGCTCCAAGTTAGTGTGGAGAGGTAGATTTAACTTTCACTGGAGCAGAAATTGTCAAGTGTTAGAAATTGGGCTTAGGCCTTTTCAAGCACCTATTAAAGTACTAATTACTTGGTACTATTATGTACCAAGCATTATAACAGTTATCGGTATAAAAGATGACTAATTGCTCTTTGGTCTAAGGGATTCATCGTCTGAAATGGAAGGAAACAATTGAAGTATAATTAATTTACTAAATTTTCTAAAAGAGTTACGTTTAAAAGACTGGGAACAGAGTAAGGGAGTAATTCATGCTGTGGGGACAGGAAGTCAGAGAGGCAGTGATCTCTGAGGGTTTGGGTGTGAGACTCAACAGGAAGTGTACAGGGAGTGGATTGGAAAGGTACAGAAGTGTGACTGTGAGGGCCTGTTCAGAGACAGGGCTCATGTGGACAGTTTATAAAACTGGAAGTGAAGTAGAAAAGCAGGCAAAGTTCTCTGAAGAGTTTGGCATTAGAGAGCCATTGGCCATTTTTAAGAAAGGATGGGTCATGATCAAATCTCTTAGTAAAACAAAGACCTGTAGTGTGGAGGAAGAATTAATGGAAGGAAAGATAGGATTATAATGATAGCTAGTACAATATGGTGGAATGTAGTATATGCTGGGTGTGTTCAAGGCAGAATTGATGTGATACTCATTCATTTAATAAACATTTATCAAGTTCCTGTCATGTCAAACACAGTTTGCCATAGAGCAATATAGTTGCAGGTATCAAACAGGAAATATTACTGATACTAAAAGTGAAACCAAGCTGAATCACTTCCAAATGAGGGGCAAGGGTGGAGAATACATGTGGTCCATATAAGAGAAGACAAGTCAAAAGAATTCTCAAGGGAAGCATAAAAACCAGAAAGTACAACATAAGAGAGCTGTAAGACCAAGAAAGATATAAAACAGCTTTGGAGAAGCTATAATTTCCCTAATTAATTATAGGGAAATATACAATAGCTAGATACTATTTTGATAAGTTTAGACATCTCAGTGAAACAGATGATATCCTTAGGAAATATGAGTTAAAATTGAGGAAGAACTAGAAAACCTATTTAACCCATAGTCCTTGAGAAGATTGTTCAAGTAGTTAATTAACGACCTCCAAAAAATGTCCAGGTCCAATTAACTTCTTTAGGTAAGTTTTTGCTTACGTTTAAATATCAAATAATCTCCTTGCTCTAAAAAATAAATAATGTGGGCAAACTGAATCTGACACATAAGTATCATGCCAATTCTGCCCTAAACAACTTGGGGTGATGAAAATGTTTTGGAACTATATGATAGAGATGGTAGTTACACAACATTACGAATGTACTAAAGCCACTGAATTTTTCGCTTTAAGTCAGTTAATTTTATGTTTTGTGGATTTCACCTCAATTAAAAAAAAACAGTACCCCTAAGTGTGGTGGAAATAGTTAGCATGGTAAGATGTGATGTTCCATTTACTCGCCCTCCCCTCCCCCCAAATGAGAACTTGGGCTGCTCCTGCTTGAGGACAGGGT